CCTGCTCCTCCTTACTTCTTCTCCCCGCGTCCCTGTGTCGATCGTGGATGTGGGCAGGCGGTGAGCGTGAAGCGGGGAGGAGGTGCGGCGTGTGGATTCGGGTGGGCGGGTCTGGTAGCTGCGAGCGTGAGGTGGGGAGAAGGTGCGGTGCGCAGCTAGCAATACATTATAGAGCACCATGTGTGGGAAACTGCAGGCTAATCGATGATTGAAAAAGTTGACAACTTTTTCAATCATCGATTATAATCGATTATGTCGATTAGTTGTTGCAGCCCTAATGTGCACCTGTAGGCACGTCCATCATCCAGTCCTGTGCAGAAGAATTTGAACATATACTGTAGGGCTTCTTCATCAATTGGATATTTGAAGTGAACAGAGTTCTACTTCATTCCAATTCATGTCCCACTATAGCAAATCAGGCTCATGGTGTATGTGTGCATTTGTTTTAACTGGACCTTTATTGTAGAACAGTTGCCTATTTTATGTTTACTATGTTCCCACTCCAAACCAATAAATAGGTAATCACAGAGGCTTTTTAAGACTCACATGATCAAATGTCAACACATTTTCCTGTGAACTCTTGAGAACCTAGCAGCCTTATGTTTAAGCAGAACTAGGAAGTCAGTCGCTTTGCTGAACACTGATTCTTCCTGTAGCTAAAAATATATGACTTTAGAGCTGGCGTATGGTCACATGGCTGGCAACTTCTGTTACTAGCTATTGGTTTAGAGCCACAGAACTGGTAAACAGGTAACACGTATAGACTGTGTCTGCAAGGGTTATCAGCTTTCCAAGATCAGTAATATCGATTTACTTATCAGACTGCCTGGCTGTAAGCAATTGTTTCATTGCTGCCTCAGAGTTTGTGGTTCTTATACACTTTCTTCCATTGCCTCCACATGAGTATCTCCCAAATTTGTTCATGGGTGGCCAAATATGTTGCAGACGAGGCCACCAGAGACATCTTCTTGGCTGCAAGTATCCCGATCTTCAACTGGTTTGGCCATCCATTAGAGTGGTTGAATCTAACAAATATTGATTTGGGAGACAATACACTTACACAGATTTATGTATGAAGTTGTTTGCTGGCTCAGTTGATGTACCACAGTAAACCTATGAGGGCAAAGAAATGGAGCTGTTGCAGCAAACTTATTTTTAGTTTCAGGTTCCAGGGCTTTCATTCGGATCCTAAATTGGATTAAATTGATTAAATTGGAGCAGGACCTCTGCTTTACTATATTGATTTCAACGATGGCAACATTGTTGCAAGACTTTAGCAAATCCCTTAATTTAATTATTAGAAACCTTGACTAAGGTCACTAAATTTCCCCCAATAAATCTTCCAAAATTCACCCCAGGTTATGCTGATCTTGTACGGTTTGGCAATAAACTTTATGGAATTAGGTTTCCATCTCACAGGTCTATTCAACACGTAACAATGGCTTCTGACCCAATTAGCATCTAAATAATTAACTCCATAATTCATCTCAGAAGTTACTCTAGCAATTCAGACAGATCTAGAGCACAATCCTTACATTTTTAGGACCTTGGGTGGCTCATTGTAAAGGTATACAGAGTCACAGTCTTAAATTTCTAATATTATACTTATGATACTAAGATAATTCCACATCTACTCTGGCTTCAATTACATCTGTCATATTGATCATGCTATTCACTCTAATTAAAGGAGAACTATGAGGTGAGTGCCTTTCACTCACCTCATAGTTCTAGCCGACTTGTGACAATGAGACTGTCACAGGTCGGCTTAGTAGTTTGGGAGGTGAGCGAACACATACCGGCGTTCGCTCACCTCTCGATCCTGTCACGGCTCTCTGCCGTGACAGGGGAGGGGCTGGATTCCCCCCTCCCCGCTCCGATCCTCCAGTGCTGACTGGCGGAATGGACGGGGGAGGGGGCGGGTACAGCTGGCTCTGCCTCTAGATAGGCAGAGCCAGCTGTCAGCCACGCAGCTGGGCGGATCCAGACATAATTGTCGGGATCCCCTTCAGCTGCGGCGTCCGGTATACTGAGCCTAGGGTGACGGGAGGATGCTAGTTTGTGTCCTCCCGTTACCCTAAGGAGAACTATGGGGAAAAGCCTTAACCCCATAGTTCTCCTTTAAAGAAATAATCAATTTGTTCTTGTTGTATTAGTTCTTTTTTTGTAAAATCTGTTTACGGTTATTGCTTACCCATGTACTATGTGGCCATGTACTATAATCCCTTTCCCCCTGCATTATTATTATTATTATTATTATACTGGATTTACATAGCGCCAACAGTTTGCACAGCACTTTACAATATATGTATGCAGCCTTACTGTTTGCATTTTGTGTTATATTCTCCCTAATAAAACTTTAAAGCTAAAAATAGGCAATAGAAGCTTTCATATTTATGTCCTCGTCGGTTCACTTTAAGTTCCTAACTTTCAGATTTAAGCCTACCTATCTACTTATCTGTAAACTGTGCTATAATAACAACCACTATTTCTTGAATATAGGAATTGTATAGATTAACATACCAGAAAGCATTCTGTACTATATTTAGCCAAACATAGCTTGTGGCCTCATGTACTTATGTAATCTGAAAGGCACTTTGGGGCTTAAGGCACACTCATAACTATCACATTCAATATGGTAGTGCAAAGAGTAGTGCTGATGTGTCTAGTCTAGGGAAAAATCTCATAGCAGTTCATTAAAACTAGGGATGCACCGATACCAAGTACCGTACTCGGTACGTGTACAAGTACAGATACTTTTCCAGCTCCAAGAGAAGACTAGAGAAAAATTAAAAAGTTAGGAGGCAGCTGTCATTTGTAAGAAGCACACGGAGCTCCTGGGATTTGTACATCTCTGTTTTAATGTATGATTTTGTTTTTATAAATATATATAAGTGATGCACCGATACCAGTTTTGCGAGTACAAGTACTGATACTTGCCCAAGTACTTACAATTACGAGTACTGATACATTTTTGTTTATTGTCATGTGACAGTTTTTCTAAAACAATATCGACTAATGATTTCAGGACAGTGGTGGAGCGCCAGAGCCCGGTCCCAGCTGCAACCACTGCAACCCTGGTAGTTCTCATGAAAATGCCAAGTATCGGCATTGGCACTCGAAAAGTATTGGTGCATCCCTAATTAAAACTATTGATAACTGACATGGCTGCAGTGCAGCCAATCAGTTAACTTTGGATAGTTAATATATTTAAACACTTATATTGCCATGTTGCAATATCATAAAGTATGTCTCTTTTCCTCTGTCCGTCTCTTTGTATGATACATTTTTGCTCTAAAGGGAAAGTATAGTGCATTGTGAGCACATATTGAGAATTGTTTTTTGCAATGTTTACCTTTTTCTTTTTTATTTAACAGTTTATAAACTTCCTTTATATGGTTAGTTAATAGACTTGCATAGTGAGAAGAAACAATGAAACGCAACGATCGTGCAAGCACAATATACAGTAGCAGGATACAGAGCATACATATATAATGAGCAAATACGGCTGCCCCCATGTACATGAAATAATTACAAACTATAGAAAGAAACACGTTTTTACAAGAATAATATACATTGGTGAGTTTATTAAAAGAAATCTTTTATACAGATATTAAAAAAAAAAATGAAAATACTATATGGTCCTTTTAAGCATTCCAAAAGCAAAATCCACTAACAGGGTTATTCACAAAAGGGTGAAGAGTTTGGAGGAGGCAGGAGAAGTGAACAATCTAGGCCAAAATAGCTGAACTGGAAAGTGAGCTGAATTGGAGAAGTTTTCCAAATCAGTTATTTTGGCCTAGATTGTTCACTTCTCCTGCCTCCTCCAAACTCTTCACCCTTTTGTGAATAACCCTGTAAATCTCACTGCCAAACTAGAGCAAAACCATGGCCATTTTTATAACAGGGGCTAGATATTTAACACTCGTACCATGTGGCATTCAGGTTCTGGATTCCGTTTCCATCAGTGACATTGTCTACATGGAGTTTGTATTTTCTCTGTCTGTCATAGCCTCTCCGAGTGCTATGGTTTACTACTGCAAGCCAAAAATGCGGGGGTAGGCTCCCACCTAGATTGTTATTAATTTGTGTCTGTATGCAAGAGAGAGAAACATTAGCTTGTAAGCTCCTCTTGGACAAAAATGTACAGTATATGAATTTCTGCAGAATGTGACAGCACCAGATAAATGAAAGAAATAAACATAGTGTGAGCAAATGTGTGAACATTGTCTTTGATTTGCAGGAGATGGCTAGAGCAGATCCCATCTGTCCTCCAGAAACCATGAACAGCGAAGACATGCTATTCATGCTGTACACCTCAGGTAGTACAGGAAAGCCGAAGGGCATTGTACACACACAGGCCGGCTACCTTCTCTATGCTTCCCTGACACAGAAGGTATGTACACTTTATGTGCTGAATATAAAAGGATATAAAAGCATATCTGTGTGGATATTGTAAAGAATATGACAATGTACAAAACAGGAAAAGTATCACTTCTACAATTCAAAAGCATGCCTACATTTATGCTGGAACTTCCTCTTTTCTCCTTTCATTGGATTGAGCCACACAGGCAATGTGTGCAAAACCACAAACACAGGCAATGTGTGCAAAACAGATGAAGAAAGTAAACTGTAATCCTTTTTGTACAGAATATGGAATATCCTATTTTTTATGAACATTTCTTATGTCAATATTTGTTCACTGTTGTTTCAGTCCACCCAAATATTGCAGATGTTGATGGATGCTAGACCAGGGGTAGGCAACCTTGGCACTTCAGCTGCAGTGAAACTACAAACCCCATCATGCTTCTGAGTCTGAGAGTCATGCCAGTGGCCGTCAGTCTTGCAACTCCTCATGGGATTTGTAGTTCCACAAGCTGGAGCAGAAGCTGGAGTTCAAAGGTTGCCTTCCACTGTGCTTGACAGTTAAAGCTGAGCTGCAGTTTAATGCATCACTGAAATACATATATAGGAGCTGCCAAATGATTTGTTTGTCCATCAGGTTCTCACATTTACACAGCTCCCTCACGCAGCACAGCCAGGGTGATGACCTGACTTTTCTCTATGGCTGGTAAATAAAAACTAAGCTTGGTCATCTCCCTAACTTGAGCCTATGAGTGGACAGTAAAGGAGCATCAACAATTATTTTCTGGGGGTTATTTGTTCCTTTGTAAAGTCACTTATTATTATTTTCTCCCCAGTACGTATTTGATTACAATCAAGGAGACGTGTTTGGCTGTGTAGCAGACATTGGCTGGATAACTGGACATAGCTATGTTGTGTATGGACCCCTTTGCAATGGAGCCACCAGTGTGCTGTTTGAGAGCACTCCAGTTTATCCAGATCCAGGTAACAGATTTTCACATTGTACTTCTTTTTTACAGCTGAATAAAGGGCCATTCCACCCTGGCTTCCCATAATATGAGCAGAGTTTAATTTCCTTATGGAAATACTTGTTTGTTAAAGTCCATCAGCAAAAAACTGTGCTTATTATATTTGCTTACTTTATTATATTTACTATACTTAGTTTTTAGTTTTGGTTTGGATGGGGAAGTATTAAAACCAATGGCGGGATTTATTGTTATTCAAAAAAAATTGTCAATGGCCTACAAAAACTCCTCCCAGGTCCAGAGTACTGGTATAATCGCATTCTCTAGCCAATGAATTAAACCAGAATGATGGACTACAATGGCCCCAACAATGTAGTGAATATGAATAAAGTCTTTCTTCTTAGACATAATCTTTTTCCCAAACAGTGAAACAATGTTCAACATAGCTCAAAGTTTTCCAATTAGGGATACTTGTCTCTTAATAAAATACAGCATGCAGAAATGTCTCCCATAGGTACAGCAGAAGTCCTGTTAACAGCACATGAGCAATTTTGTTGGTCCTACTGGGCTTTCTCAGTAGTGTCTTGGATTTTATTTGTGGCCATCAGGTCTGAAAGTAAAGAGAATTGCTTCAGAGAGGACACTGAAAGCAGTTACAGCACTTTTCTTTTGTTTTATTTTCTAGAGTGGCGAATGGATAGAAGTTCTGCAATTTGTTTTTTATAGTGATTGCTCTTCATCTCTACAGTATACAAAACTATAAAAATAAAAAGTTGTGGCTGTAGGTGGGCTTTAACATTGATTAGAATGCAACAAGAAGACGGTGGCTCTTGATATGTAACAGTATCAGGATATGTCCCCATGGTGGGAAGAACCAAGCACTTGAAAAAATCTCTGCTGAGTATTTCCTGAGAAATATAAGAAACCAGCAGGTGATGTTGTGCACCAGCATTGCATACATATGTAAAATACCATTAAAGGAGAACTATGAGGTGAGTGCTTTTCACTCACCTCATAGTTCTGGCCGACCTGTGACAATGAGACTGTCACAGGTCGGCTCAGTAGATCGGGAAGTGAGCGAACACATACCGGCGTTCGCTCACTTCTCGATCCCGTCGCGGCTCTCTGCCGTGACAGGGGAGGGGCTGGATTCCCCCCTCCCCTCTCCGATCCTCCAGCGCTGACTGGCAGGAACGGACGGGGGAGGGGGGCGGGTACAGCTGGCTCTGCCTCTAGATAGGCAGAGCCAGCTGTCAGTCACACAGCTGGGCGGATCCAGACATAATTGTCGGGATCCGCTTCAGCTGCGGCGTCTCAGTATCGCGCTATACTGAGCTTAGGGTGACGGGAGGACGCAAGTTTGTGTCCTCCCGTTACCCTAAGGAGAACTATGGGGAAAAGCCCTAACCCCATAGTTCTCCTTTAAATTGGAACTCCAGACCTTTTTTTTGTTTTTTTTATCTGGACAGAGAGTGGGAAAGGATTGAACCATCTGTTAACCCCTGAGCGTTTAAATTTTTGTATCTACTGCCTCACCCCAGAGTAACATTTAGACTTAAAGAGGAACTTTACCCATATCTTTAAAATAAAAGCAAAGGCACCTTTAGAAATGTTTAGTAATGACAATCTATCAAAGACCAAATGGTTCCCACTAATCAATGTCATCAAAGAGTCCAGATGGAACACGTTTGTTTAATCAACGGTCAAAAAAAGCCATAAACTTTTGTGTTTATATAGAAAAATATAAATGTTTAATTAAACCCCCAAAAGGGCCCCAATCACATATATATGCAAATATCCAATTCTAAAAAAGATATTGGTTCCCATAAAACCCACACATAAAAGACAAAACAAAAGATAAATGAAAAGACATTTTTAAAGTCATGGCCATCCCCTGGGAATTAGGAGGCATTGCAGGTATAATCAAGGTAAACTGAAATGCATCTATGTGCACTTCATATACTTGTTTGACTGTTTGCATTTGTATCAGTGCTGATGGTATTCTTCAGTCTCATTTAGCCACTTCCTCTCTACTCGCAATCGCTCCAGTGCCAGCTCTATGTTATGGATTTGATCCATGTTTGTACAAACGCGCGTCACGAAACACGCGACAAAAACGCGCATATTCAATACGCCTAGGTGTGAACCCAGCCTTAAAGTGACATTGTGATACACAAATAAGATACATTTTTGTTAATAGTTAAGGTACTTGAATGCACTGCAGATTTAAAATGATTGAAAATAATTTTTAAAATTACATTTAACACCATATGAGAGTGTTAAATGTATCTATCTACCAAGTGCAGATTTTTCAGAGTACAGCAGCATGTTCTCAGGGTCAGGAGGCTGCAGATAGGGAGGAGCTCAGGTTCGGACCAAACCTGGTCTAAACTTGAGCTCCTCTGAACACAGAAGGATCCCTTCCAAACACGGAAGAAAGCTCCTTCTGCTGCCCGGGAATTCCACACCTGCACATGATCAAAGGGGCAGGAAGCAGTGACATCATTGACCTTATGTGACGTCATGGCTATACTTGGTCAATGGCCTAAAAATCAGGAAATATGTTTAGTAGAAGAAAACCTTCACCTTAGCTTTTTCAGTGGCCGCAGGGACAAGGACAAATGTACATTTTTGGATGAAAGTGCAGTTGTACTGTAAACCTTCATCTGTCTACTGTCACATGTATTTTTTCTGATGTAATTGCTTTCACAATATTGACTTTCCTCTGGTAGAGGAATCTTTACCATGTACTTTTTATTTTAAAAGGCTCCCAATCAATGAGTAAGCCACAGAATTCTCTAAATGCCAGTAACTTTACAGAATCAACTCTATGCTTTGTAAATACACCTGTGACATAACACTATATGGACATGTGATGTTTTATCACTTCTTTTTTTTTTCTAAAACATATGACTTTACTATAATGGTTTTGTTTGCAAGCCAAGTTGTCACGAGTAGTGCAATTTAATGAGTGTGTTATATAAGCCATGTCACTCTTATTGTTTTAGGGCGGTACTGGGAGACGGTGGAAAGGTTGAAGATTAATCAGTTTTATGCAGCGCCAACAGCAATACGTCTGCTGCTGAAATATGGAGATGAGTGGGTGAAGAAATATAAAAGGTCATCTTTGAAAATGTTGGGCTCAGGTATGTGGAAGATAAAAGTAACAAATACATAATTCCAGTATGATAACGTAATTACAGTAGGATTAGCATATAATGCAAAAGGAAGAAAGCTGCAGTTACCCATATCCAGTGGCAAATCACTATTGGGCTGGAACGAGCAGCCACCTGGGGCCCAGTGACACAAAGGGAGCCCATGTTTGCTCCCACTGCCTCATCACCTAATGTAATCAAACATCAGTGAGCTGGAAAATGTCCCTACTCGCTTGTAGCTTGTAAAAGGCATTGGCAGTGATGGTGTCCTCTTCTGTTACATGGCTGTAAGGTGGGAGAGACGGGGTGTTGGAGAGTTAGAGGTTAGAGGGAGCCCTGTAAGATATGCACCCCCACTCCCGGTTGCACCCACTCTGATAGTATAATTGTCAGGTTTGATAGTAAGGTCCATTACCTTCTATAAGAATGCACTTCATTATCCAAAATACACTGAAACAAAATTGTTATAGTATATTTTATTTAGTTATTTTATACATCAGATAGAGAATCTTGATCTGTACATAATATCCACTCAAAAAACCTTGCAAGTTAAAGAAAAACTTACAAATAAGAATTGTCCTATTCAAGCTCCTATTTGATTATGGTTTTTCAAATTAGGTCTAATCAACTCCTTCTTCGCCTTCGTCTCTTGCTAGTTTTTCTTTTCACCATTTGTATGTAACCATTTGCATGTTTTTGTTCTTACTGTTTCAGTTTTTTAGTTTTGCAGTGGAACAAATAAAACAAAAACATTCCTTCATTTTATTTCTTAAAAACTTTACTGTGCTTTGTACCAGAAGACTAATTTCAGGGTCACATAAAATGTGCTCTTTTTATAACACAATAAATATGGCAGGTATTTCCATGTCTTTATAAAATATAAAATATATTTATTTTGAAATGATGCTGTGATATGATTACTTCAGTAGCATAAGTAGTGAAAAAGTTATTACTGAAGTAAAAGGCCCATAGAAGAAATATAAAATATTTTTTTGGTACGTAGGGAGTTTATAGGTTAGAAAACTGAAGTGGTTAACTAATGTGTGCATGTGCATCTGATCTTCAGTAGGGTTGTAGTGGGAGAGGAAGAAGCAGTATAAGGAGCAAACCAGTTAATGCAGTGACAAGAAGCATGCTGATAGGAGTAGAAGGCAAGTGACAGAGAGATGAGCTGATCACTGTGCTGCTCCTTTTTTCACTGCCCATTCACAGGCTGAGGCAGGTCCAGGATGACCTGGGTCAGAAGAAGTGGTTTGAATGGTGCTGTAG